AACCTACGTAGTACTCCCTCCGTCCCATTTTATAACGCCTGTTTCGGTTTACGATGTTTGACTGAAGTTATTTTCAAATCATTTTATATGACAAATGGTATAGAATTAAAAAATAAAAATTACATATCAAAATACTACATCAAAAGATCTACAAAACTAGTAGTGACAACAATATTTTATTTTATCAATTTGCTAACGAAAATAGAGAAAGAAAGTGAATGAAATTTGACCCTGTGAATAGTGAACATGCATTATAATTTGGGACGGAGGAAGTAATAAGTACGGAGAATATTACTCCATAAAAACTAAGTACAGAGAAAAAGATTTACTTTGAACAGTAGTACGTAGTATTAATTAAATCCGACTGCTCTTTTAAGGCAATCTTTTTCTTATTTCTAAAATAAACGTTCTAGGTACTACTCAATCCCTTACTTGTTTTAGTATTTGTAAAACAATAAATAAAAACAATATTAGATATTGATATAAAAATAATTTTTTTAAATTTATTATATCAAATATTTTTAAAATATTATTTTATCTAATTAAATAAAGGTATGACATAAGATTTTTTTAAATATCTGAAAATAAAAGTTCTTATGAGTAATTCATTATTTTTCTGTTAAGCACTATTCATCACGTACTTTATTTAAAATTCATAAATTAATGTTCGTTAATTAGTTTTATTTTAGGATTGGGAGATCAGTATGTTTTTAGTTTTCTTGTCAAAACAAAAAATTTATACTCATATGGAAGCATTATCAATTCAAGGGGAAGAAATTGATAATATTATATATGCTCCATATTACTCTGTAGTTTTATAAAATATGTATAAATTGGTTAAAAATTTAAGTTTTTTTATACAGAAAAAAAACATGAAAAAATCTAAAAACAACAAGGTAACCCGGCCACTAACTTTTGACAGTTCACGTCGGGACTGATGGGAACAGTGGTAGAAACGCCGCATCCCGCAGGAAGGCCGGCGGCAAGATCGGCCTTGATGGGTGTACGGGCGGCGGCAGCCTTGAGGCACTCACAGGCGGTCTGGCGTTCCTGCTGCGACGGGGCTATGCTGACTAGGCTTCTAACGGCGTCACAGCACTCCCTCGGAGGAGCGGCGGCGGCGGCGCCGTCTCGGAGGTAGGTGAGGCAAGGGGAGATTGCGGAGTCAACCTGAGCGCAGTCGAGGGCGTGTCCGAGCACCGCTAGGACCGTGGTCGCCATAGCCATTATTATTATTGCTTGGTTCATTTTTAAAGTATTGTATGAATGAGTTTGAAAGAAGAAGCATTAATATATACTCTGTGTATGTATGTATGTATATATATGTGTGTGTATATATATATATATATATATATATATATATATATATATATATATATATATATATACACTCTCCGTCCCAAAGTATTTGTCCACTTTCATTTTTACACACCAATACACCATCCAATACACTTCTTTAATCCATTTTATCTTGTAATTTGTATATTAAAAAATTATAGAAATTATATATTAATAATCTATATGTTAAGACAAATCAAACAAGATCACACATGAATATATTTAGGCTTACATATTGAGAAAATTTGATGAGTCAAAGTGCTTAGATGAACAGTTCCAAAAGTCAAAAGTGAACGAATATAGCGGGACGGAGAGAGTATATATATATATATATATTTGTGTGTTTGTGTGTGAGAATGATGCATACATGCATTGAGTGAGTCAGGAACGAGTAGATGAAAGATCATCAGACCAGAGGCCGGCCCAACGCTCTTTAACAGATGATTAATGTCACCTCTGATTAGGACTAACGTCATAAAATTATTAAAGAAGAATTCACAAACACTACTCCCTCTCTCAAATTAAATAATCTTCCATTTTTTCCTTTTGGAAGTCTTTAATTGTTTCTAAGGAAAAAATTCTAAACATAGGGGACTAGTAAATTTTCCAAATAACTAGTCTCTAAATAACTCTTTCTTATTTTTGACCAAAGTCAATATAGGAATTGTTTACAGAAATAGAGAGAGTACTAGAAAATCATCTACTATATATACTAATGATATACGTGATATATATACTCTCTCCTTCCCCATAGATTTTCCTAAATGCTACGAAATATTAACATGGTAGTCAAGCCTAGCTGATCACTGTGTTTGATTATTCTTACTATCCATTTCATAAATTACTACAGTATCACTATCGTCACCTCATATCTTATAGAATTTTTATGTAGTTTTTTACAATATAACATTTATTTTTAAATTTTACACATGCAATTAAATAAATTAAAAATAAAATAAAGTCAGTCAAATCTCGTAATGCTTAATGAGAAAAATCTATGGGGACATATGGATTATATGTCTGGCAAAAACAAAAATAGAGATAAAGAAAGTGAAGAAGAAATGAATTCGATTCTAAAATTTGAATTCTTTGATTCTAAACTACATAAAAATAGAATAGAATTACAATAGAAGTTTGTTGGAAATTATAAAAATATGTTTTAAATCCAAATTTTATTTATTTTTTATTCTCAAACTGTAATTTGAATTTAATCAAAATTTGAAATCTAAATCCAAGTTTTCGGAGAAGTAATTACAAAATTGATTTGATTTAGGTCTTGTTATTTTTGTCTGATTTGATTGGATCTGATATGATTGTATGTATATTCCATATTTAAATTTGTTTAATGTTAGAGTGTCATCCCACGTCGGAAGTTCAAGAGCAAAATAATCGGTATATAAGCTCTTGAGTTGAACTAACTAATCGATTAGATTCAATCTTTTAATGTGGTTCAGCGCAAGTGTCTTATTACTCAATCCAGTTATCCATACCCCATCTTAAATTCTATCATGTTATCAGAGCAGGTTTTGGCCCACCTCGTTTGTTAAGGTGTCTGTCTAGACGTTCATTTCCAGCGGCCCGTTAGTCTTTAGCCTAGTTGTCTGTATGAAGTATGTACCCAATGTCCCAATGGTCTGTGGCCCGTTTAACACACACGATTGCTCGTCTAGAAGTCCATACCCAACGGCTCGTGGTCCTTTAGGTGTTGGCGCTCAAAAAATTTCAAGGAAATGGGAGTTTATTTGCAATTGGTCAACCGGTTAGATTCAAAATGGTCCGGTTGTCCACTTAAGGGGGAGTGTTAGAGTGTTATCCCACATCGGAAGTTCAAGAGCAAAATAATCAGTATATAAGCTCATGAGTTGAACTAACCAATAGATTGTATTCAATTTTTTAATGTGGTTCAGCTCAAGTGTCTTATTACCCAATCCAGTTATTCATATCTCATTCTCTCTTACTTCTTATTTTGGTTCGTTAATTATTGAATGTAAGGCCTTGTTGATCGATTTTTGCTCTAGTTCTATCAGTTTTGTTCGTAGAGAGTTAAACGTTGTTGCTCATTCTCTTGCGAGGAGAGCAGAGGCCCGTCGTTCTGTTTGGGTGTCTACTCCCCCGAATTTTGTGATCCCTCTTTTACAATAATGAAGTTTCTTTACTTTCAAAAAAATAAGAATAAGGCTTTATTCTTTTGAATTGAAAAAATTAATTATCAACTATTTTCAACTCCTTCCAATTCTTTTTTATCTCCTTCGAGTTTCATTCAACAGCACTTATATATAGTGAATATATAATAACGTTACATATTCAAATTTATAACATGTCATCTCAAACACAAACAATAATAAATTCTTTTTTATTTTTAAAATTAGAGTTTTTTTACGTATTTATGATTATTCAATTCTTTCTAATTTATTTTAACGTTCAACTCTAATATTCCAATATAATCTAAATGGGAATAATTTTTTTTATTTCAACCATTACTACACTGCACTTCGGCTCTGGCCTCCCCATCCTATTGAACAATACAATTCACCTCTTCTTCCACATCCATTCTCAGGTACTTTCCTTTTCTACCCTTCATCTTCATTCATGAGTCATGGCTGCTGCAACTTCAAATCTTATCAATTACTATTTCCAAACAAAGATTAGGTCTTGTTTCAATTATTATCCAGATTTGAATCACATATTTCGATGTTCCTTTCATTTGTGTATGTTTACAACACCGGTATGAAACGCCACTCTACTGAATACTGATCATATTTCTCGTTTTGGATTATTTGTTTTGTAATCCCCCCCCCCTTTTCCTTTCAATTTTTTCGAATTTATTTATTTTTATTTACAAGAGTTTGGTTCTCGATATGTATATGGAATAGCTCAAATGTGAATGGCAGAGCTTGCAGATCAAGCGTCAATTGGTTTTACAATTTATTCATTTATTAAAACATTGGGCATTAAGCTTATTCTCATGGAGTATTTTCCATAACATTTGCAGGTCGAGTATTTAATTACTCTAAGGGCCCTTGGTGAGTTTTAGAGATATGATATGATATGCGTTATAAATGATATGTGTTTTGAAATCCGAAACGAATTTGTTTGGAGAGGTTTAAAATTATGATTTAATCAGTGATAAATGAGGGAGTGATAAATGAGGGTGACCGGCAACAGAGGTGGTTCGGGGTGACAATGGTAGTCGGTGACAGAGAATGATCAATTGTTGAGAGAGATATCAAACCGTGATATTGATATCTCCCAAATTTGCGAGATATCAAAACTCTCCATTTGAAGGATTTATGATATCTGGAGATGGCTTTGTTTGGTAACAGCGTTTTCGATTAGCGTTAGCGTTTTGGATAAAACTTTAACGGTGCAGATTAATTCTGAAAACGCTAACGCTAAAGGCTACTGTCGGATAACTTTTTCAAAACGCTAACGCTAATCTTTGACGCTGATGCCAAACGGGGTCAATATTGAATTCGATATCTTTTTTGGCTTCACCAAACACCCAAAAAGAATTCTATATCTGGAGATATCAAAGCCCATATCTTATTTTTTCACCAAACACACTCTAAAAATATGTATAATTACGTATTAGCATATATTAATGATATGCATCTGTGTTTGATAGAAGTTTTCATGAAGATATTACTGCAATTTTATTTACTACATATAGAAAATCTTTCAAATTTTCATCATTCAGACACACTTCCCCAATCTCCTTTGTGTAAATGTGTCTACCTTCGCAATGTGGACCCAACGAAACCATATTATTTGTATTGAAAATCAAAATCGGGTCAATAATAATAACAATAATAATACTGATCTCTCAATAGTGAAGCCCAAAGCAGTGCCGATATCATGTTCTAGTTAAAATGTAAAGTTCAATAGAGCACATTGAATTTTGTCCGTTAAGACTACAGAACAACCAGTCTGCATTTATTCTTTGTTATTGTTTGATATTATTCTTTGTTGATGCATCCCGAAGAATTTCACCATAGTGATGCCAGTCATGGCAGAAGAAGCTGAAACAAGCATCTCAGCAGACACAGATGATGGAATTCCAGAGAAAGATGCAAATGTTTTACAGTTCCTTGATTCATTGGATAGTTATCTTACTCTAATGGACAAGCTATCTTCAAAACTTCGCCAGGTATCAATTTTTTAACTCAATCCATTTTCTCTTTTTACAATTTTTTTTTTCAGAATTAGATTGATTTGTTTCGGATACCATGGTAGTTGGCATCTTATGAGTTACAATTCATACGATGCAAAGTTAACCCTAGCGATATGAACTGTATCTCATCCCTATCTTTTAATTCATATGATTGGAATATCTATAAGATACAAAAAAAACTTTGAGTGTTAGAATTTAGAAGTAAATCCTTAATTATATTAGTTAAGTTTATTTCCTTTCATAGGTCCATGAAACTTAAATGCAAGAAACATTAGGAGAATATCAAACTCAACAAGACATGTCAGTGATGTAGAAAAGATAATTGAAAATGAAGAAAATGAAGAGCTTGAGAGATCTGAAAAAGGAGCAAAAAGTAGTAGAGGTAGAGGATGACCTCAGCACTCACTGATGTTGATCATGGGAGAATGAAATTGACCGGGCAACATAGGATTCTAGTGGATAAACCAGTGAATATGCAGTATCAATATCACAATATGCCTTAGAGACATGTATGATTCTTTTGTTGTTTTGATGTATGGCATTATAAGAATGCCGTAGATTGTAAAATGGTTTGAACTTAGAAGGTCAAGTATGATATGTCAACTTGTGTTTTTTGCTAATGCCACTTGTTTTTACTAAAGTAAACTATATTTGTGTTGGTCATGCATTCGTGATTCAAAAAATAATTCAAAAAGTGGGTCTTACGATTCATTACTTATATCTCGGATTGACAACCCTGTCGGATACATAATGATTGGTTTGTAGGAGTATAATAAGCATCACTTGATGCACATTTGTAGGTGGCGTCACCATGAATTGGAATGGTAGCGGGTAACATGTCCATATCTTCTTTCTGGCTATAACATATCCCATTTGCTGTAGGGCAATCTGGAGTTGTCAAGTGCTCGACTTTCAATGGGCACATCACGCATCAATAGCACATTGCTTGACCTCAAACCACATTCTGCCGCAACTGGATTAGATGTCGAGCATGTTGAAGGTTGACTAATTATTAGAAATAACAAAATGTTATATTCTAGGTTTAAAATACAGATAAATTAGCAATTAAAGATTTCATTTCTTCATAGCAGGATCAGGGGATGGTCATGTGTGCTTCAAGTTATGCAAGTGGGCCTATTCTGCTAGTCCAGAAAGTCCATCTATCAAAAGTAAATCTGTGGAGGATGACTTGTTGCATGGTAAATCATACAATCCAGAGCTTGTGCATCATAGTAATTACTCCCTCTGTTTTTTCTATCAATTGTTTGAAGAAAAATTGTGGTTTTAGGGTGACAATTAATTGTGTTATAATTTGACAAAGAAACCCCCATTTATTTGTAGGTATACAAAGTAACTAGCAAAAATAAAAATAAATGTGTGGGCAGCATAGTCATTTCATTGTTTTTTACTTTTTGGTTGTTATGTCTGCAGTCATTCAATTTTCAATGTATAAAAAGAAAGTCAACTAGACAGTTAAAAAACACGGAGGGGGTAGTTATTTACAAAAATTAACTTTTTTAAATGACAAAAAATGCCTCTAGTTAATGGAAATTATTTGAAAAATGGAGAGTATTCTGGTAATTACTTGTTTTGCATACTAGTCACTGATTGCTAGATATAGTGTCTCATGTACTTATCTATAGATAATCCCAATCATCTGCAACTAAAGCATCTTTTTAACATCTGAAATGTAACTTGTATTATACTCCAGAAACACAAGAGAAGAAGCCAGAAAATAACGGGTCTCCTTGTGCACTTGATGACATGGTAAACTATTTGGGCCATTCTCATATCTATTAATCTATAACTGCTGTTCTATAACATGTATCCAGGTCTCATTTAGCAACTTCCATTTTCATTTAGTCTTGTATGGCTTCACCATCAAGGACATTCAAGTGTTGAACTGAGTAGTAGAACTATTTAACAAGACTTATACCTGCACTCAATGAAGTAAAATCGGCATCTGCTGTTCACTTCTGCTATGTGCTTTTTCTAGGCCAAGCGAGAAAGATCGAAATCACTATCTATGTTTGGAATGCTGGTTTCTCCAAAGCTTCGTGCTGCCCAACTTTCATACGAGACAGGTGATCAAATTAGCCCTCTACCTAAGGTTCACATGTTTTCCAGGATAATGTTGCGGCAACGTGCCTTTCATATTTTTAATGAATACAAAATTCTCAACACCTACCAATGTTTTTTCTTCAAAACTTTTTTTAATATGTGTAGATAGTGTCTCCATCTAGTCTTTAAAAGCCTCTTTTTTCCCGGAATCACATTAGGACTTAATTATGGTAAAACAAAAGTTTTCGAGTATCGACATCCCATATATGTATTTCCCTTACTTTCCATCATTTCCTTCATGTTATTGACTTTTTTATGAGGCTTAATCTTTTTTTTTGTAGCTCTGGATACTATTATAGAAATAGCAAACACAAGAATATCCTTGCTGCAGGCTTACAATCAAGTGGCGGAAGAGATTAAAATTACTCCAAAAGACTAGAGGTTGAATTCCTATTAATTGTCCAATGTACTTTTCACACGTTTTTTGTTATCTTCCGGTCAAACATCAAAACTAAAAGATTCTTCTCCGTCATCTCCCATACCTATGAAAAAAGAAACTAAAAATAATGGCATTGATAAATTGGCTATGGATGGGATACACATTTCCTAATTTTTTTACTTTGTAATCTGGTTACTCAATATAGTATAAAAGCCCCTCTGATTCTTCTCTATATAGCTTGTGTGTTTGTTTGGCAGAGCATATTTCAGAGCTTATCACCTATTTCAAGCTCCGAAAAAGCTCTGTCCTACTTATTTCATAGAATAAAAACGCCATTTCCTATGGCTATGGCTTTTCAGAGAACAGCTCCTAGTTTTTTTACTTAATCAAAGAGAATGTACTCTGCTAATCACTAAAAAGATTAAAGAATGTACAATAATGTCTGTCACTCTCTACATAAATCAGCTTATTCTGATAATTTTACAAATTACAGCTTTCAACTTTCCGCTCCTAGCAACTGACCATCTTTTATTTTTTTGCAGCTTCGAGCTCATGTTTTCAGCTGATTGTCAAGATCTAACCCTGCATAACTTTTAAACTGGGAGGAATTCAGTTTTCTGTCTTCCAAGATGAAATTAGAGCATTTAAAGGTCCATACAAATTGCTGGCTATTGGCATTAGAGCATTTAGAATTCTTGACTTTCTCGTGACACAGCAGCGGCAAGACCAGCTTTTTCTGTATGACAGTCACTTGGAAACAATTTATAATGCACAATTTCATTTGTGTAAAGATCTGTGCTGAAGCGTCGCATTGGATTTTTTGTTGGGGGTTGCATATGATTATAATATTAAGAAATTGTGATTTAATAGAATGGAAAAAACCAAACCATGATACTCCGTAAATGTGTAGTCAAGTTTATAATGTTTTTTAACATGGGAAGAGCAAAAATGAAGGCTCTACCTGAATCTTTCTGTTTACAAAAGAAATACTATTCAATTTGTCATGACACCAAACTAGTTGCTCCCTTGTTAGCCTAGACATGTTAAGAACCCTAGAAACTAATCTCATGTCCACTTGTGAGAAGAAGTAAAGAACATGGTCTGAGTCATCGTCGTCTCTGCACTGTTTGAATCTCCTCAATATGCTGTTTTCACTCCTCAAGCTATCTCTGAGCTTCTTCTCCTTCTGCAACTCAAACCAGAAGAAACATTAAGCAAACTAGTGAATCAAGCAATGTAAGCAAATTCAAGAATCAAGAATGTGTTTTCTTTTTCCCGGTAAAAGACAATTTCTTTACCTTTTGCAGACTTCTTCTGACTTCCATTAACAGTTCATGGTCTTCAGCATCTTCAATCTCCGAGTGACACTGTACCGTTGACTCATTATCGGATTTTACAAATCGCCAAAAGATTCTTATACATTCTTCAAGAATCTCCACTAGAATATCACTTGTAATTGCAAAGTCCCCCTTTTCAAACTTCCCCCCCTTCTTCATGTACTTCAAGCTGTCCTCTGCACAAAAGTGCAATTGTTAAGTAGTTATCAAGTTAAATCCAAAAAGATCTGAGGGGAGTGTCTGGACAAGTTTCCCATTGCAATATAAAAGAATGAGTTTATAAACTTTTGGGTTCAGGCCAATCAAAGTATAGATTATATATTGCTAATGCACACCTCTAATGACAGGAACTTGCAGAAGATCACGAAAGTCGCACCGGCTTTTGATATAACATTGGACTCTTGGCCCTTGAAATCGTTCGTCCTCTATGTATCTTTGCAAGAGCACTTGAAAGTGTTGAAACTCTTCTGCAACTTCGTTATATCGCTTGGACCCTGCAAGGTCAGTGTCCCACAAGTCAAGGGCTTTCCCATATTGCCAGTGTAGGAATTCCCAAGAAAGACACATCTGCCCAACATATACTACTTCCAGTTCACACTGCAATTCCTTGATGAACTTCACCACTGGATCATCAATGTCACTGTTCTTGTGCTTGAATGGCCAGATGTTCTTTAAGAGTGATGGTGGAGCTGAAGATTTGTGGGATGAGAGCAATTTGAATGGATCTTTTACAGACTCTTTTTGCAGAAAACTGATTGCATAGAGCTTTTGGTATGTGACGATGTCAAATTTCCGCATCCTCTCTTTGTAGATTTTGCTGAACTTATTCAGCTCAACTGTTATGCATTCTTTGTTTTGAAACCTTTCGTTGATTTTCCAACGCTTGAGTTCATCCATTTTGAGAGACTCTGAATCTTCATAGATGGTTGGCAAACCAGTGGCTCTCATCTTTCTAAGCTCCGTCTTTAATTGTTCAAGCAAATCTTGATGTTCCCATAAAGACTCCAAATTTGATCCTTCATCTTCTTGAAAATCACTCTCTGATAAAAACCCAGATTCCAAATCTGGATTCTTCCCATTGCATTGTTTGAATTTTTTAGGACTATCAGATTCTTCATCTTCTTGAAAATCACTCTCAGATAAAAACTGAGATTCCAAATTCGTGTTTTCGACATTGCCTTGTTTGAACTGATCTTTAGCACTGTCATCTTTATCAGACACAGATTCAGAATCAGAGAAGAAGCCTTCATCGCTGCACAAATCGACTAACCGACTCATTAGAGATTGCATTGGCTCAATAGAAGGAGACACAGAACCAGAATCAGTCACCATTGAATCTTTCTCGGATTGAATATTGAAATCGGCTTGGCTCTCTGATTTACCCAATTCCCTCTCATCTCCTTCTCCAAATTCTGTTCCCTCTAGATCACGATCAGATTGTTGCTCTGGTTTGCAAATTTCTTCCTTTTCATTTTCCTCTTCTCCACACACACCATTGTCAGAATTCTCAGGTTTGATGCCCCTATAAACAACTTCTCCTTCCAAAGGAGACTCCTTCAAACCCTTGTCTAATAGAACAGTGTCTTCATCCTTTGAACAACCAAGATCCAATTCTTCTGCAACGAAACCCATAAAACCCTTTTCAGACACAGATTCAGAATCAGCAATTCCAGAACCAACCACAACCCCTTTCCGGCAATTGATGATGAATTCCTCGTAAGTGGGAAACCTGAACACGAGCCCATCACTGTTTTCTTTCTCTTTCATTTCCACTTCAGACACGGGCTCCGAATCCCTCAATGTTTCATCTTCAAGAACACTGACCTCGGAGGTTTCTGAAAAAACCGAACTTTCTTCAAAAGAATCAAGAACGCCCACTCCCAGCCTGCAAAAGATCGAAACTTTTTTTAGAAACAGCAAAGAAAACACTTGATTCAGAACATATCCTTCGTGAGGAATTAATTTGAGCCCGCACCTGGAGAGGAACGAAGCGATGAATCCGAACAGAGGTTGCAAAAGCGATGAAACAGTGAAGGCAAAAAGGCGATGAACAGTGGCCATGTTCAGAAAGGCGGAGGAGTGAACAGTGTGCGGGTGGGCCCAGACATGGACGACAAGATTTTTTCAACCCTTTACCTGAGAATCTTTAACAGCGTAACAGCAGCAGATGAAAAAGAAATTGATCACGGAAAACGCATGGGTGGTTTGAAAGTTTGAACCCGTCAAAAAGGCAACAAAAACAGGGCTACCTGAACACTGAAAAGGGCGAAAAAGAGGGTTCTTTTTTTATTTTAAATCTTAAAAAAAAAACACAAATAAACGAGAGAGATGGCGTAAAAACTGACAAGATTTGCAGAGGGGGGGAGTTGAGGGAGTCAAAAAGCAGATGAAAAGAAAAAACTGAGTGGTCTGGGAATTTGCTGCAGAGAGAGGTAGGTGGGGATGGGGGGCCGTTGTTTCCGAGAATTTATTGCTCATTGACCGTACCAGCGACTTTGTTCATAGCAGATTTGATGAATAAGAAGAGGGAGAAAGATCTTGAGGTACTCTACTAAAGAAATTTACTTCCCTTCGTCTTACTCTATTAGAACAATTTGATTTTTTTGACTTAAATCAGATAAACTTTAATCGTCAATTACTCTTAATTTGTATTGTATATAAATATAATAAATTAGAATTTTAAAATTTCTCAAGATAAATCTATTGAATGAATTTTTATATTAAAATATATAGATATTTTTATTTAATTGAGATCTAAAGTTCGTTCAATTTAACTCAAAAAAAGTCAAACTGAACATATACACTAGACATTCATATATGACTAACCATGCAGAATGTCTATAACATTTGTAACTTTGCAAGAGATTGAGATTAAAAGTGAACTTAGCATTTTGTGGAAAAATAAAAAATAAAATACTAGTATTCCCTATTCCGCGTTGATTTTTCTTTCTTTGGGAAACCAAAGGCTCATTAACACACTTTTTCTCCAACAATTCCCCAAATGCTCCCAGGGTTGACCATTACTTGTGGGAAAAATAAAAGCTAGGTTTAGGGCCCTATTTGAGTTTTGTTTTAAATTTGAAGGGAGAATTGAATCAAATCAAGACTCATAGAGCTATCAAATGAAAGGCGATTTGATTTCAAAGAAAAAGAAAGAAAGAAAGAATTTGAATATCCAATACCCCCATATCAAATGAAAAAAAGGGAATAACATTCTTTTTTATGTACAACTAAAACAGTTTTTGATAATTAAAATGTATAAAAAATGGGAAAAAATGAAAAAAAACAGTCATTTGTCACTGTAGATTTGTCATTCTATTCACATGAATTTGTTCGCTGGATTATTTTTTATTAGTTAAAACATGTCACGTCACTGAATGGTATTCCATTTTTGTCTTGCTATTGCATATGTTGTGAAGGAAGAGGGTTGATTTTTGAGCCCGTGTCTTAGGATCGATTTTTAACAATGACGTATAGTTTGAAAATTTTATCTATTCAATTCTTATAAAATTTTATCAAATAGTGCAATAATTCTTTGTACCCACTAGCTAGGTACAAGACAACCCCTCAAAGGATCTGTATTAAAATTATCATTTCTCAATAATAATGTTCTCATTGACTATTCACATGGTCAAATTTTATTTACTTGTTGGTCTATTTTCGTGTCACATTTGATTAAATACTATGGTCATGTCATCTCTAATTTTGTAGATCGTTTGATGTAGTTTTTAAATATATAATTTTTAATTTTTATTCCATAGTATTTTTTATATAAAATGATTGAAAAATAACTTCAATAAAATGTAAATATAAAATTTGCAGACTAAAAAAATTATGAGTTTATTGCACCAACGCCCATGTGGTTTGGTAAACGTGGTCCGTTATCCACCATAGTTTCAAAACTTACGTCGCTGTCTCTCGTGGTGCTGATATTGTTATGCCAATAAAAATTATAAAAATACTTTTAAAAAATTAAAAACATTTATGAAAAAACATTAAAAAGAAAAATAATAAAGAAAAGAGGGGCATTTGTGTCAATTTCCAAAACCATAGGAGGCGGCGGAATTATCTACATAATAATTAAATAATATTTTAGTCTAAATAGGCATTAGCGTAGCAATATCAGAACAATGAGGAGCAACGACGTAGATTTTGAAACAATTGGGGGTAACGTTGGACATTTACCAATCCACATGGAGTCGTGGTCCAATAAAATCAAAAAACTTTATAAAAAATTTTCTCAAAATAATAATTGAAATATCTATTTGATATTTTGAAATTGTTACTGAAAATAAACAAAAAAAAATTAATAAAATTTGACCATATGAATTGTGACCGAACAATTCATATTGAGAGAGATGGAACATTTGACTCTGCATGACTTTTAAACGGTAATTGCCCACAATATATTTATCTTTCAAGAAAAATGTCTTTGTCATTCACATTATATTTATCTTCCAGAGGAGTTGTAATTAATACTCCATCCGAACCTAAAAATCTTTTTATTTTGATTTTTTGGTCAAATAATGACATCATTTGATCATAAATTAAACATAATCTAAATAAATAGATAATATAAATATTTAATATATTAAAACTATATCCTATATTGAATTTATATTGTGGTTAAATATATTTTGCTCATGATTTATGATCAAATTGTGTTAGTGTTTAACAAAAAAGTGAAAATATAAAAGGTTTTTAAAGACGAGAAGGATGACAATATTCACTTATGTATACATGATGCATGATAAAAGGGAGGAGGACATGAACATGATGGCCATGCAACAATGCATGGTTCGGAAAATGTCCGTCATGCCCTTTCCTACCCGGCCCACCCGAGCTTTTTGGGCCGCCGCATGTAACAAACCAAATAAAAGGGCCAGTTCTAATTTTCTATGGGAAAAATACAACGGAGTAGTATTTTAAGTATTTTTTTGCGGCTTATACACTTAAAATTTAATCTCTTTCTTTACTAATTTTTATAAATTATTTTATAAAATTATATAATGTTGTCACCTCATATTTTGTAAATTTAATTTTGCACATATAATTAAATAAATTATATTTAAAAAAATTTGATCAAATCTCGTAAATCAGACAAGAAAGTTTTTTTTGGTTATAGAGCTTTTGATATAGTTTTTTAAATACATGAATTTTTTTATTCTCTTTCGATATTGAAAATAATTTTAATTAGACATGTGAATTAAATTGAGATGGAGGGAATGAAATAAAATGGGAAGTACTAATAAAAGGGAGTACCTAATTTTAGATTAGATATTGGGTCATGCTACACTTACACAGTTACACCACAAATTTTATCCCATTTGTACACTGCAGTTATACACAAACATTTTGATGGTTTACACCAATACAAGTGTTGGTGCGTTAACAAAAATTTACATGAACACAAAGTGTTGGTGCATTAGCAAAAATTAGTTTTACGTTAACACAAAGTGTCGGTGCAAACCTGCGGGGTACAAAATGAGGTACAAAAGTTGGGGTACAAATAGCTTTATCCTTACATATTTGATTGGATTTAGGAAACAGAAAGGGATTGGAAGTGGTTTGATTCAATTCCCAGCAGGAAAAGGTTTAACTTTAGGCCCAGAAATTATTCCAAAGGTCCCACATCTTGGCCCGTTTCTATGGTTACCTCAAAACCCATACGTAGGCGTGGGTTAAATTTTATGAATATTTCTTCGTCTCAAATTAGATTGCGGAGTAAAATTTAAAATTATGATGTGAGATCACGTATTTTTTTATATTATTTTGCTTAAAAATTGATATTAGAATAAAAAATAAATTACTTATTAATTAAATTATATTAAAAATTTTACAAAATAAAAAGTGTCAAGAATATTTGATTTAATTAAGAAAATAAAAAGTATCGAGAATTAAGAAAAAATTGAAGTACATTACACGACGGAGAGAGTATAAAATAAAATTCTTAAATAAAACAATAATACTATGTATCAAATATTGATGTCTATACTCTTTGATATGTATAAACTCAATATTGACATGATAAAATAGATTTTGTTTATTCTTTAAAGAAGAGGTTAAAACAATTTTTGACGGAGTTCACTTTTATAAGTAAGAAAAACTTATTATTATTAAGGAAAAATTACCTAAAATAATCCCAACTTTACCCGGTCTTTCAAAAATAATCCCACCTTTCACTGTGATGCATAATAATCCCAACTTTACTGAAATTTACCAGTTTTAGGTCACCGTTAAGTTTCTAACGGAGGGTTAACGGAAATGCCCGTTTTAGGCAACGAAATGAAAGTTGGGATTATTTTTGATTAATTTTCATTTTTTTATTTTTTTAAAATTTTTCATTTAAATTTTTTAAATTACTTTCTACCTCCATCATCATTTCTTTTTCCTTTTTTAAAGATTAGTCTTAGTTTAAAAAATAAAAATAATAGATATAAAAAATGAAAAAAATGAGAAATGTATTTAAAATGATACAAAAATAATAAAATAAATAAGGTAATCAATGGAAACTAACTTGAAATTGGTAAGAGTAAAATAAAAATATACGGGTGGGTTTTAATATTTTACGCATTATACAAAGTATTAACACATCACTTCTTATATTTTAGAAAAAATTATCTACAATAATTACAACTTTATCGGACGGCTTGTTCTTTTAAAAATAAGTAGTACATTAAGACTCCGTATAGTGTGTAAAATGTTAAAACCCACCACTCCGTATATATTTATTTTATTTCTTACCAGTTTCTTTTTAATTTCTATTGCTTACATTATTTATTTGATTAATTTTATATGGTTTTAGTTATTTTTTTCATTTTCATTATTTTTTTATATCTATTTTTTTCTAAGGTAAGAATAATCTTTAAAAAAAGAAAAAGAAATGGAGGTTGAAAGTAATTCAAAAAATTTAAATAAAAATTTCAAAAAAAATTAAAAAACAAAAATTCATCAAAAATAATTTCAACTTTCATTTTGTTGCCTAAAACGGGCATTTCCGTTAACCCTCCATTAGAAACTTAACGGCGACCCAAAACTGGTAAATTTCAATAAAGTTGGGATTATTATGCATCACAGTGAAATGTAGGATTATTTTTGAAAGACCGGGTAAAGTTGGGATTATTT